CAGAACTTCAGTAATCCTGACAGCCTTTCAAAAACTTTATGGTCAGCTACATTTCAGCCTTGATTTGACAAAATTGATCTCTTCCACTTTAGTGGGGGAAAAAACAAACCCCAAACCTTGACATTTGCTCTTTAATCACTTGTCCTTTTATCAATCTTTACTAGTTTTCTAACGGTAAAGCAACTTTACATTCTCAGATCCAACCACGGGATAAGTAATAAGCACCCGTGGGGTCCACTGTTGGAACCGGCGTGCTAAGATCGTGACTGGGAGTTTGCATCTACATTCCTAAGTGAGACTGGTTTGTAACGTAGACCTTTATTTATTTAGAACGGTTTTATTGCCACATAACCCACATAACATAAAATTCAACCCTTCAATCACGTGGAATTGTACAATCACCACCAGTTTTAAAGCATTTTCTCCTCTCTTGTGTTCATTGTGAGGAGCTCACCACTTCCCCCCAACCTCCCCTCCAGACCCCCAAGAAACCATTAGTTACTGTCGCTATAGATTTACCTATCCTGGATGTCATTACAAACAAAAACACTAACAACAAAATAAAACAGATTAAAAAAAACTCAATCAAAAAGAAAATAGAACAAATTTTCAATGGGTCAAAAGGGAGATCGAATGAGGTGGTGTTAGATTTTTCACCTAACTACATGTGGCACAGCCCACTTGCCAATGCACTCTGCATGAAAGCAAGACTCCTCAGGGGCTGTCTACGGTCAGAGGGGTTCACTGGAGACGTAATCCATGCGCATTGCCCCTTCAATCTTTTTTTAATTGAGGCAACTTTGAAATGGGTCAAAAGGGAGATCAATCGATACGACACGTTTGACCTAACTATATCTACCATAAACAAGTTGACAGTGCTCCTGTCCGATACCAAGGCTAGTCACATCCCTTGACTATGGTCTGAGGGGATTCATCGGAGGCTGAACAGGTGTGTGGCCTCTGCAAGTGGATTTGGGGACTTGTACTTTTATTGACTCACAGGTGACAGGCTGACAGTGAAAGCGCCAGTGCCGTCAAGTCCATTGAGAGAGCGGGTATGTAGATGTTAGTTAGATGATTTCAAATGTTCTATAGGTTTAAGCGTTTCCCAAATGAAACCTGAGGGGAAATGATATACGTTCACGACAGGGTCGCTATGAGTCAGAACTGACTCAATGGCAGTGTCCGGGTTTATCGTAACACATGGAAAACAAACCAAACAACATGCCAGTAAGACACCCAGTCACCTACTAAGATGCTTTCTACAAGGAAGGGTCTCACGCTCTTGCCCGTGGGGTCACCTGACATCTGTTCCATGGTAGCAATGATATGAGAGGCTGTGGAAAATCATAGGTCCAGAGTTGCCGGTGGAAACACCAACCTTCGTCCACTCGGCCTCTGGAAATAACTGGACGACGTCCTGAGTGTAAAGCTGTAAAATAACCTTCTCTCTGAGAAATCAATACTTTGGGACCAAAAATTCAGCATTAAGCAACTTTGAACATTAGGAGGTGGCTTCAAAAAGCTCATGGAAAACCTTCATTATTGTTTTTTTCCCCAACAGTTTTATTGGTACATAACATTCGTATCATATAATTCAATAGTTCAATCATCACATCGGTTTTAGAGCATCCCCTCCGCCCCTGGTTATACTGCCTTTAAAGTGAGTGGTGCAGTCACAATCGGCTCTAGTGCCCCTCCCCGCTGCTCCATTAGTTATTCCCCAAATCCTCCTTCCCTCCCTATCCCCCACCCTCCCACCTCTGTATCCCCTCGAATCCGTTATTATCATTATGCATCCACTCCTCTTGTGCTTCACAGCTGGGTGATCCAACAGAAAACAATAACAAAATCATGCCAAGGCTAAAAACATAACAGTGTACAAAATACAAATATGCACGCGAGGGAAAAGACCCCCAAACGCAGTCAAAAAGCCAGGGAAGAAACGTCTGTCACAGAACCAGTAAAAGATGTTTGCACCCAGAACAGATTCAAGTCACATCTATAAGGTGCTCAACTGGTCACGTGTTGAGTTTGATCCAGCATAATCAATACTGCAGTGCTCTCGGCCTGGCAGTAAGACTGCTCGGATCTCTTGTCTGCGGCTAGAGCGGATCTGCCCGGGGCTCAGTCTGACCAGATACTCTGAAGATTGCTTTTGGACTCCCACCATCCTCATTAGCCCTCCACAAACTGGTGTTCATAATTGCTGCTTTGACTCACAGCTTTTCCCTCATGTTAATTTTTAAATGGTCATCCTGGATCACAGGCTGGTATGCTTCTTCGATGTGAGCTCAGTTGCCTCATCGCTTAGATGACAGTTTGTTTAATGCAAGCCTTAAGGCCCTAAACACTATTCCGATCCATAGCCGAGGACCATCTGCTTTCTTCACCACACTTTGCTTTAGCACCCTTAACTTCAGTGATCATTTCATGAAGGTATCAAGCAGGACCATGATGTGAGAACTGATTACTCTTAAGTTGGAGCTAGGATTTAGTTTGAGCCCCAAACCCATTCCTTGATCTATGCTTTTTTTTTCTTTTCAATTTGCTGTAACTTGGGAACCAACACGGCATATCATTTCATAGTTCAATCAAGTCAAACACAACTGTACAATTTCTCCACAATCATGTTTTCTAAAACATACTTCTCCTTCCTGGACTTCTTGACACCTTTCTCTCTTATCTCCCCCTCCCCTCTATATTACCTCACATGCAAAACCTGTTATAGTTTCTTTCCCTGTTGGTTTAATATTCCTGGGTTTCAATTACCGAAAAATAAAGAAATAGCACAGCTTCATGAGGGTGGGCCCCCATGGTGATGCACCTCTGAGGGATGTCCTCAGATAAACGAGCATAAACAGAGTATAACAGAATGACCATCACAGGATTGCCAGGGTAATAAAATTGCAGTAGTTTAAAATTTCATTTTCCATGGTTGTCTGGGAAGCTGCCATGGACAAAAGCTTAGACGAGGCAACATAATGGAAACCACGATAAAAAAGGACAAACAAAGCTCACCGTCAAGAGCTGACTGACCCTAACAACCCGGTACAAGAGTGTGAAACTACCCATCTGCGCTTCCAAGACTAAATCTTGACAGGAGTAGCACGTGGGAGCTTTCTCCCCTGGAGTAGCTGGTGGTTTCGAACTGGTGACCTTGAGGTTAGCAGCCCAACGCAGCCAGTAAACAACCACAACCAGGGCGCCTCTGAAATGTATTTCCACTTAAAAGTTCTCCGAGAAAGCATTACAACGGAGAACAATCTTTTATAGCCAGGAAATAAAGATAATCCTTCTTTTCAAAGTTCTGATTTGTAACTTAAACCAAGTCAACACAAAAACCTTCCTTCAGTCACAGAAACTAGGTGGTTAATAAAAGCCACTTGCAAATCCATCAGATTCCTATCTGATTTGAAACACAACACTCAGACTGTACTATACACTACTGTATTATACTACTACCTGAGAAAATAATGATATGCATGCCCACCAAGAGACTTTCCAAAGGGTAAGAAGCCTTTACCCCAAGACCTTGAAATCAAAATCAATGCACCCAGAATTCAGAACCAAACCCGATGACAAAGCAACCTGAGAGCAATAGCTAACACTCATGTCCCTGATACCTGCTTTCCTCTAATTCTCAAAATAACCCCACACCTTCTACAGATGACAGCCAACCAACTGGTGTAAGTAATGGAGATGATACTCAAGCCTGATAAGCCTGGCTTTCGAATCTGTACTCCTAGCAGCGTGCTCTGAAACCCCTCAATATTAGCTACTAAACAAGCGATCAGAAATGTACTCCCGCCTACCCTTCCTCATCTCAGGGTGAGGGCCATCCTTTGTCCTCTGTGCACTAAGTTTCCAACACACTGTGCTCCTCTCACCCTAAAGGAGTGGACAATACCGCCCCCTAGGGGAAGGGCCTTACAACGATGAGGTAGGGGTTGCAAAAGCAGACGCCCACACTGGATTATGATCTATCACATAGACGTTTTTAATTGCCTGGGAGGCACTGAGTAAATTTTTTCTGAAAAGGGGGCAGTAGGCCAAGTTCAGAAACCTATGCTATAAAACTATCGTTAGTTTTAAGCCATCTGGTTTTTATTTATTTCCCCCTCCTAGTACTTTGTCTATGGGACTGCATTTTTATTAGTCACTGCTTGGTCTACTGACCACCAATGTATGAAATAATTCACTAAACCGTATTCATTCAAAAACTGTAAAAGAAAATCAACACTTTCTTTCACTCATTAACTACTTTCTTATCAAGTCTTCAAAGACTGGTCAGGGAAGTGCTGCTGATGCTGAGACCAAGTCCCAGAGCAAACTGCCAATTTTCCTCCACTCCCCTGCGTGCAGACTGCAGGGGGCGATGGGTGAGGGTGGTAGGAGAGAATACACGATGCACTGTCCAGAAACATTTCACGTGTAGAAATACGAGATGAAGACCCCATCGAGACAAACACGCCAATGTTAGTTTTATTTATTTTTTAAACAAGAAGCTGTACAGACAAATGGAAAACCAGATACGAAGCAATTTCCAAAAGATAGAAAAGAACAAGTCTCATCTACAAAATTATTCACAGGTTTCAGAGCCATAATAAAACGTGGTCCCAGAGGTCCAGTACAGGCACAGGAGACAGCCTGTGCTAACACACCCTCTTGGGGAGATCACTGGGGGCTTTGCGGTACACGAAATACACTGAAGAGTGAAATCCCAGAAAGCACTTCAACGCAGAGGTTTAAAGACCTTGGCTTTGATGGTCTGCCAGGTAAGAACCAAAGCAAATGGCTTCCGTTGGGACAAGCCAGTGATTGGAAACACTTTCCAATGGCCCTCCACTTTGGGACAGATTTCACACATGCCCTGTCATCTACCCAGTGGGATGACTACATTACCTTATCGAGACAACCCCCTTTCAATACTTTCAAGAGGTACACAACGAGGTCCCTAAAAAAATTTAAAAAAAAAAAAAAAAAAAAGGAATGCCAGTTTCTTCCCATCATTCTTGCTTAAATGCAAAAGCCGACAGTTTCTGATTTGTAGAACGATCTAAAGGTTTTCGCTTTTTGGGCAAGTTCACCTTCTCCTTTGTCTTTTCTCTCTGGCTTTCTGATTCGTTACTTTCATCCAACGGCCGCTTTTGAGCTTTCACTTCGGCTCCATCACGTGCAGGCCCTCCTTTGGCCCGGTCAGTCCACGCCTGTGTGAACACAGTGGGGTGAAGGGAAATGGTTTCTATGCAGTCACAGAAGCAGAAAGAAATGGCTTTTTACTTTGTCAGGTAACACCCCTGAATAAACAGCAGCATGATTAGTATCTGGATTGTTCAGGTAATCCACAAGGTTTCCTTGTTGATAAATCTTTTCTCACCTAACTGCAGAGCTCTCACTGAAAAACTTAAGATTCTCTAGTATTTCAATCTAAACTCTGCTTGTGTTTAACCATGTTACCCAGCACAACATACTACAGCTGTGGGTGTTTTGTTTTTTTAAATGGAATTTTAATCGTAGGGCTAATTGTAGATGAATATGTAGCTACTGAACAGGACGCAGAAAGGACCCCATGCCCTTTCCCCTGTGGTGGCATCTCGCGAAGCCATGGACAATGCTACCATCAGAACACTGACATCAAAACAGTCCACCCACCTTGCTCAGGAGTCCCACATTTTATTTCTGCTCCCTTGTATGTATGTATTTTGATATCTGTAGGTTTGCTGTCACAGGTTTGTCCACTTACTACAGTTAAGATACAAAACAGTCTCACCACAAGACTCCATGTTGCTCTCATTAACCACTCACTGCTGGCCCCGACCCCTGGCAACCACTAATCTGCTCCCCGCCCCTGTCACTGTGGCATTCCAGGAATATTACGTAACTGAGCCAGACAGCACGCTCTCTTGGGGATGACTTCTATTTACTCAGCAAGATCCCAAACCGTCAAACCGTTTCATTTCATCTGATTTCTCCAATCTCTCTAAATCTGGAATAGTTTCTCCGACTTTATTTCCCTTGACCTTCATGTACTGAAGGAAAACTAACACAAAAAGCTTGCAGCCATGCAGTCCATTGTGACTTACAGACCCCACAGGACTAAGGACAACTGCCCTGTGGGGTTCCAAGAATGTAAATCTTTAGGGGAGTAGGAAGCTTGGTCTTTCTCCTACAGAGCGACTGGTGGTTTCAAACTGTTGACCTTGTGGTTTTCAGCCCAACGAGCAACCCACTGCCCCCAGGGCTCCTTTCTTGATGAAAAGATGCCCATATTAATGGATTACATCTCTGTAAATGTTTAGGGCTTACCTGAAAATCACAGATCACATTTTTAAGTTTAAAAACAACCCCTCACAATCATAACTTCTGCCCAGTTGCTTCCTCTTTTGTAGGTTAAAGTTATAGTCTGATACCATCTCATCTAATTCTTGATCTAATTTTGATCCTTTTATAAGGACTTAAGAAGAATGGAAAACACAGAGTTGTAAATGAAGCACTACTTGGGGCCAGAGGTGCCTGGGCCAGTTTTAGCTTCCTCCCTATGCAACAACGCTCTCCATAAAACCCAGTGGGTTGACCACAGCAGGTGTCTGCGCCAGTAGGTGTCCATGAGGCATGCTGCCGCCCCCACAGAAGCGCAGTCTGAGGGTCTTCTTACAAAGAAGCACAGGCAGACAAAGCTGCACGTGGCTGTCCTCAGAACCCCACAGGAGGTGAACAGACCTCTGTTCCACCAAAAGGAGCGTTCTCACCTATTAGTCAGTGTGTAAGTAGACAAGAAGTCCTGGTGGCAGTAGTGGTTACAAGTTCGGCTGCTAACTGCAGGGTCAGCAGTTCAAAACCACCAACCACTCTGTGGGAGAAAGATGGGGCTTTCTACTCCCATAAAGAGTTAAGAGCCGATGATCCAGTCAGGGTGCAGTCTAGCACTAATGAAACACACAATTTTCCTCTAGTTCTTTAATGCTCCCCCACCCCACCCCACTATCATGACCTCAATTCTACCTTACAAATCAGATTAGACCAGAACATACACAGTGCTACAGATAAGAGCCTGAAATACAGGGAATCCAGGATAGATAAACCCCTCAGGGCCAACAATGAGAATAGAGATACCAGGAGGATTAGGGGAAGGTGGGGGGAGAAACGGGGAATCGACCCCAAGGATCAATATATAACTCTTCCCAGGGAGACAAACAAAAGAAAAGTGGGTGATGGGTGACAAAGGACAATGTAAGATATGGAAACAATAACCTATAACTTATCAAGGGTTCATGAGGGAGGAAGGGCAGGGGAGGGAGGGGGGAAAATTGAGGAGCTGATACCAAGTGCTCAAGTAAAGAAAATGCTTTGAAAATGATGATGTCAACAAATGTACATGTGCTTTGACACAACAGATGAATGTATGGTTGTGATAAGAGGTGTAAGAGCCTCCAATACAAGTATTAAAAAAAAGAGTAACAGTCATGGAAACAACCCGCCAGGGCAGTTCCACCCTGCCCTATGGGGTCACTGCGAGTCAGCATCGACTTGATGGCACTGAGTTTGGGTTTGGGTTGCTGTAAGTAGACAGCAGTCTTCAAATTTTTTGCTGGCAAGTTTTAGTCTTAAAATGTAAATTAATTTAAAAAAAGTAAATTAATAAAAAGACAAAAACGAAACAGACAAAAAAAGTAAATTAGTTTCATTTATACTTATCAACCAAACAAGCTTTTGGTTTATAACGAATGCCACTTCTATTAGGGAGGAGAAAGAGAAGCCCCCTAAGTAGTAAGACACAGGGACTTACATATGCAAACACCCTAACCATGCAAAATCAACCATCATCACTGAATCATAATTAACACACATCTACCTGCTCAAAGCTGGCATTTCACTAAGAGCCGATCTGCTGTACTCAACTCCCATGAGAGTTTAAAAGCTGGGAATTCAGTGAGATGTCAGTACAAGCATCCTTACCTTCCTTTCTTCAGCTGGCAGCACTCTGAAGCGGAGCATTCCCTCTTTTATTATTTCTGCTTCATCCGAAAAGTCAGGGTTGTCGGACAAAATGCTGCTTCTGTTTTCTTCCAGCCACATCTGGAACCCAGTTGTGGGCCTACGAGAGTAATTATGTGGGAAAAATGCACACTTAAGACATACTTCAAAGTATCTTTTCATTTTTCAAGTTAGTAATTAACCATTAGTCTTCGTACACCTCTATAAAGAACACAGGAGCCACAATATGCTTACCGATACTCATACAATACCTACTCCACTTAGCCACGTGGTTGGGGTCGTGACGGAAACGTCAGCAAAGTGAGAACACGGAGGATGGCCACACTGGCTTACCAGGGGAGGAAGGCCGGCTAAGCCACTGACAATCGTGCCCCGTCAGTTAAGGCATCACCGTAACCATCACTGCCAGTGCTACTCTTGCCTTGCCTTGTGGCATTTGTTACTGCCACACACATGTTGTTAATGAGCAAAAAAGTCAAACAGATTTGTCACTTTTGCTGTCCATGCAAAATGTCAGATAACAAGAAAATTCATAAGTGAGGAATAGTTATGTTTAAAATTGCCTGGAGACTGCAGGATGAAGAACTGAAAACCCTTTTAGAAGATCCAATGCGAAAGTTTACCTATATTAGTAGTTTCTCAGCGTAGTAACCATGCACGTTGCACTTTTTAAAAAGACTCTTTTATGAAATCAATAGTCCCAAAGTCCACAATATCACCTGATCCCTCTGGTTCAGTAAAACTCTTCCACGTGTCCCTGGTAAGTTCTTTTTATTATCTTTGAAGCCAGCTCTTTGAAACTTTACAGCTTCTTGCAACCCTCTCCCCCATCATCCCCTCTCACAGACAACCTAGGAGTGGGAGTCTTGTCCTGCATCATCATTAGACAAAGCACGGACACAGCACAGTTGTGAATTCTATTCAATTTCATTTACTTCTTTCCCCCTTGTCAGCATTTTCTTCCCCAGAGTATGACTGGTATATAAGTCACATATCATACAATTCAATTGTTCAATTTCACTTCTGACACAGACTTTAGGTTGCACGTACAGTGAACACTTACTGGGCACTTCTCTGCCAAGCACGGTTCTTATGTACATGCTCACTGAGTAGCAATAGCCCTCTGAGGTGGGCACGGTTAGTGTCCACAGAGGGGAAAACGGAAGCTCAAAGAGAAGATCACTTACTCAAGAGCACCTACCAGCCGTTCTCAACCTGAGGTTCACCACCCCTTTGGGGGTCCGAATGACCCTTTCACAGGGGTCACCCAATTCATAACAGTAGCGACATTATAGTGATGAAGTAGCAACGAAAATAATTTCATGGTTGGGGGAGGTCACCACAACAGGAGGAATTGTAGCAAAGGGTGGCGGCATTAGGAAGGTTGAGAACCACTGAGGTCCTAGCGAGAGTCAGGCTTGGGATTCAACAGCCAGGCAGCTTGATCCCAGGGCCCCACACTTAGCTTCACCGACATTGTAGCTGAATTGATTGTGTAAATAACTAGTCTACACCCACCAAAAGAGAAGAGGCATAAACAGCAGAGAAAAAGGTTTAGAATAAAATTTTGAATGGAAACAAAAACATAGGGTATAAAATTATATCTCTAATATAAACCCCATTAAGCATTAAAGTATAAATAATTTAAAGAGGATTAAGAAGAAAATATTACCGTCTTGAACAAGTGATTGTGTAGCTTTAAAATTTAAGTATTTTTCAAATTTTCTACTTTTAAAACCTTTTAGTATATCTTTTCAAATTTTTAGAAAGACAACCTATTCCACTCCAGAGTGAAACGCTAAGGGCGTCCAAGATAGCAGCACGGGGAGCAGAGCAAGGAAGTCCCCGGGAATACCAAAAACAGAGTTTGGGGCCAGGGCATGGCAGCCCTCAGACTCGACCAGAAAGCACTCCTAAAGGCCAACAAACAGACCTGGAACTATTCATAGGTTTTTATCGTCGTAGTTGTTTTTATTGTTTGGTTTTCTTTTGCTCTTTTCTTGGTGCTTATTATCGTCTCTGCATGTCTATCTAGATAAGATAGGCGGGACAA